GTATATATACATATTTATATATATGTATATGTATGTATATGTATATGATATATATATAGATATAGATATATATATACATATCTATATATACATATATGTATATATATGTTATATGTATATATATCTATATACATATATATACGTATATGTGCATATATATACATATATATACACATATATATATATATGCATATGTATATATATGTCTATGTATATATATGTTATATGTATATATATCTGTATATGTATATATGTATATGTTATGTATATATATGTTATATGTATATGTAAATGTATGTATATATATATGTATAGTATATGTATATGTAATGTATATATATATGTACTATATATATATATATGTATGTGTATATGTATATGTATAGTATATATATATATTAGTATATATATGTATATATAGTATATGTATATATATAAAATAAAGAATTAGGATGATATTTATTTGGGCCACACTGAATACACTGTTTCTTTGTCTTCCTTTTGTTATGTCTCTACATTACATTTCATTACAATATGGTTCTCATCAGTGTTTTCAGTGGGTTTGAATTAGTGCATTTTGTGTGATATGATATGTAGTAGGTAATGTTGATAAGGATGTAAGATACCATTTATAATTGTTTCATAAGTTTATGCATTCATCTATTATTTTACTGTTTAGTTATAAATAGATAGTTATTGCTATTGGAACTTAAAATAGATGATAAGAGTGAGGCACAAAAGAGATTGTCTACGTTTTACATAGACAATCTGTAATAAAATATGACATGAGAGAGGAAAGGTTTGCTCTGGATAGAAAAGTATGGCATGGAATGGAAAAAAGTTTGCAAGGGATTGTTGATTTTAACTCTTTCCTAAATTGAATTCACACCAGTAAATGAAATTACATATATCATGAGGACTGAGTAAACATTTGCTATTAGCTACGTCCACCACTTTTTTTTTAGGGGGGGGGGGATGTCCCTATTTCTACCTTTTCCTCCAAGTTCCATTTACTTGTTTTCATTCAAGCTCTAATCCATCTTTTCAAATTTCCTTTGACTCATTTTTTTTGTTATATTCAATATTTTATATTATCTTCATAGGCCCCTGTAAAGATTTCAGTTGAGAATGGAATTATTTTTAAAAATGCAGTTTCAGGGATCAGCATATTTTAAAGATGGACTTTATGTTACAAGTGTGAATGCAGTACATCTGTCATTATACTTCATCTGTTGCACCATTTCATGACTTGTCACTGTGAACCCTTCTTTCAACAGGATATGCATATGAGCTTTTATTTCTCATCAAAAGTCTATGACTTCCTGTTTTATGGGGTCAACATCACCACAACATGGGGTAAGAAAGAGATTTGTTGCTTATGAAACACTATTATGCAATTTTTTGTTTTGCAAACTGATTTGATAATAGATTATACAAATAATGCATTTATTTTTGTGTTAATAATTCTGAGTGAGGCAAGCTTTTTCTCAGCTAGGTAATTTTTGAAAAATTGATATTGATTGCATATTTATATTATAAATAAATATATATATGTATATATATACATATAAATATGAATATACAAATATATATATAGATAGATATAGATATAGATATAAATTATCCATTTTCTTACAGAAAGTAAAGATGAACATTCAAGACATTTTGTATATATCATTATCTACCTTCACAGGTGGTGTCTGCAGAAAGAAATAAAATGAATCTCCTACTCATTATCATTATTATCACATTATTATTACTTATCTTGGTGTTATTAATCTTGCACACTGATATCTCATTTTGTATTTCTATTAATTGTTCTCATTCTGATTAGGTCTGCAAAGTCAAATTATTGTAATCGTCATTAATTATTCACGCTAACTTATCAAATCCAATGGGCATGGTATTTATCTACATGCCCACTGTCAGTTTACTTTATTGTTTCTACACATAGATGGCTGCATTTGTACTAAGTCACCAAATAGCAATTATAATGACTAAAATAAAAATAACATCATCAATATTCATAGTATTAGTAAAAAAAAATTATTTCCCACCAATTCAGGGAAAGGTGAAATCAGGTAAGATCAGAAGGTCTACTAATTGACTCCTTTGTGGCTAAGCACTAGCAGAGCCATCTATGTGCAGAGACATTTCACACACAAAAAAAACTAGATGAGCACAGCATTTTTCCGGCAGCATTGAGTTGATTTATATTAATGCCAGAAATCTCAATATCTTAATTTTCCATCTACAAATTTTCTTAATTTCAAATTTCATTAGTTCACTCTCTATCAACAGGCATGGTGTCCCTGTGTCTAGGCCTGGTGTCACTCTCAATCCTGGCTGAGGGCTTCAAGGTGGCAAGATCACAACTCCTGAAGGTGGCCATGTCCAGACGTACAGGATGCACCAAATATGAAGTGCCAGAAAGGTCGCCCCTCTTAATGTCTCAGTCGTTTCTTGGCCGTAGGAATGAAAAGCTGTTGTACAAACGCAGGTAGCTTTGGGTTTGGCTTTACGGTAGTAGTGTTTGTGTGTGTGGAATTTAATGTTGTAATACTGTTAACTAGGTTGGTATAGAGTGCTTGTGTGTATGTCTATATGTGTCATAGATTTGTTTATTTTTTAACTTTGTATGTAAAGGAGATTTTCTTTTTGTATTTATATAAACTATTAATTCTATATAGTATAAAATTTATCAAAGTTCTTTCCTCTATGTATGTATATAAAGTATATACAATTCTTCATGATAAAAAAGTTATAATTTAACAGCTGGATCTAGATAACATGACCATCAAGTCATAAAAAAAATTGGCCAAGGGGCCGGTGACGGGAATGTCTTGTCATGGGCTATTGTCCTGAGTGGTAGGTGATGCGAATGTCTCATCAAGATTGAACTCAGTGGGCATTTAGTAAGGGGCTCTTGCATTATTTCCACCTGTAAATGATGGTGGAGTGTACCTACTGTGAGCCATCTGGAATGATGCGGACTCTAGGGAAGTAATATTCCCATGCACAGAAATCTATTCCTGTCCACCGTGGCTGCCAGTACAGTATGGAAAACTGATTATTGTGAAAATAGTAAAAAAATACAAAAATAACACAATGTTAGTTGTTATTGTTGTTGCACTTATTTGTAGACTGCTTGAGAGAGAATACTGCTCAACATATAGTCTATTACCATCTAGATACAGTAGTCGAGTGCCCACTGTTATTACTGGGGGATATAGGTGAAGTGGAGTTTTACAAGGAACTGGAGAGGCTCCCCAGTTGGTAAAGACTGGGCATTCCTGTGTTTCTGCTGCTTGGATGAGTGCTCTGGAGTATAATCCGTTGATGATCTTTGTTTTGGATCCCAAAGCTCAGTTATTCAGGTGCTGTGTCAGCAAACCAGGAACAAGGGGAGCCTGCGGTCCAGTCAGAGAGAACCTGGGAAGTTTGCTGAGCTGGGTTGTGCATGTTGTGGGTTGTCTGGAGTCTGGATACTGCACCTGTGTGTTCTGGTAGGCCAGGCCTACAAGCCATGCTCCCAGGAGAGTTAACACTCAAGTAAGCCTAATTATTGGATTTTATTCTGTGTGAGCCATGAGGCACCAAGATGCCGACAGGCAAAAAATCACAAAATCACAAAAAATCTTTCAAGTGGTTTATATGTTTGAAGGCATATTGTAGCCATATAGAATTGTTTGCACTATCTTGGTGTACAAAGTCAGTAGAGTGATTTCATGAGAGAACAGAAACACTGTAATTCTTCCCAAAAATAAAGAAATCTGTGAAATGTATTACGTAATTCATATGTACTGATGTCTACGGTCCTTTTCTTTGCCTGTGAAGCAAAGGGCCACACATAGGGAAACTCTACTGGTTGGACACACCACCTGAATCTCCTTTCTTTAGCCATTGCTCCAGCAGAAAGCACACTGCCTCTACCTCAGGTATGGAGTGTTTGCAGGCTTGTGCAATGGCTCAGTATTCTTGGGATTTGTCCAAAGATTCTGATCCAGGGAAAGCAGTGCTTTAGAAGACACCTAGGAGGCCTCTAAGGTGCAGCAGCCCCTACACCAGCTCCTTGAAGTCAACCTGATTCCTCTTACCACTGAGGGTCTGGTGGACTGCCATTGTGTTATCAAGTCTTTTCTTGTACTACTTGGTTGTCTTTTTTGCTATTGGATATGGCCCCATGAGTTGATCTGAGAGGGCTGTGCCCTTCATGCAGATGCAGTCAACAACAATTTTGGTCTTTGACCTATCTACCCCTCAATGGTTCAGAGACTTTCCTGGTATGAAAGGTGGACAGCAGCTACCAGAGTCAGTCCCCTACATTGTGCTGAGCCTAGTTGTCTGTGAAGTAGGAGGGGGTTGTCAAGGTATCAATGTGATCCCTAATCATTGTCTTTGGAAACACAGCTGAGTGCATTAGGGGATCGGCTACCATAAGTCCCTCATATTAGGCCTTTGCTGCAGTCGTATGAGGAACCGCAGGCCTAGGTATGACTTGATAGACCTGGCCGTTTGAGGCGGGTGATTGCCCGCGTGCGCCTCCACGCTCGCCTTGGGTTAGCGAGGCGAGCTATTCATCGCTCGCCTCAATGTCAGTTCACACATTAACCGCCCGCCTTGGTTTTCCTTTCATTTCTCGACACCTCTTGAATTAAAACTAAAATATTGACAGGAACTTAATCCCTTATGTTTTGACTTCAAAATAACATTAATCACCTTGAACTTGAACTTGAACATTAAAATGCCAGTTTTCGAATGACTTTTAGTTTGTACTAATGTTATAAAATTATGCTATTTGATTTAAGTTTGGTTCTGTTCAAACCTTGTTTTTGAGAATGTGGTTGATTTGCGACTATATGAAACTATCGTTTTATTTCTGTTGGAGAATTGTCATCTTGTTTTGTAAACTTAGCTGTTTAAATACCAATGTTGCATTTGTTGTTTATTCGTACACTTTTATGGACGATTTTCAATAGATTGAAAATTGCCCGCCTGACTTTGACGAGGAGAGCGATGCACCGCTCGCCTGCTAAAATGCTCACGGCCAGGCCTGACTTGAGCTCCTGAATTGTTGTGTCCTCCATCCTTTCATGTGTGAAGAGGTTTTTGGGCATAACTAAGTGAAAGAAATAAGATGTAAAACATATGTTAACAAGAGGACAAGTAGACAGCAAATCAACATACAAAAAATAAAAGTTAGATGCTTATCACTATTTCTTCAACAGTCTTCTGCAACAATTCCTCTGTGAAAAAATTGGGGAAGAAATTGAAGGGGTTCAAGGCTCTGTAAAATAGTAATGCTATACCGAAACACAAGGTAATATGTTAAAGGAGCCAGATGTTGTTCTTTACAAATCAAAAAATGGTAGAAATCTTACCAGAGAGATCCATGTCTTTGACAGCTTTAACGATGACATGTATTTGTCATCTAAATTGTCATCATCGACATCCTTGTTGGGAGAATGATGGTATAAGTACAACATTGGTTCAGGAGCATTGCTCAGGTAAGGAACACCCCTGGAGGTCAAAGGCCAAGGATTATCTACCATCTCCTCCTTGAAACAGTCCATTATAAAAGTATTAAACCATGACAGGGAGACCCATCACCAGCTTAAAAGTCAGACAGACTCATGATGCCTATAGACATACCTGGTCCGTGTCCATCAGAAATAGTTTTGGGAGATTAAAACTATTACTTGTGTACTTAGCATAGACTTTATAGAAGTAAATATTAATTATATAATTATTTGGTTTGAATGGTTTGAACATAGAATCCAGTGTGGAAGAAAAAGAAACAAATGAGGCTTATTGATATTTCTTTTTTCTTCTTTTTTTCTGTTAGTTTTCCCTTTTGTTGATATATAATTTTATTGAAATTGAATAAACTCTTATTTGGTTTAAATTGCTTAGATTAATCAAATATATAATTGAATCTGACAACACACATATGAATGCAGGGACAGGTAACCAGTGTTTTCTAATAGGGATATATGTTTCTTGGGAGGTATTCAGACAAGTCTATTGTTGCCTTAGGAATGTTAAAATTTAAGATACATCAAAAGATCTTTTATACATTTCCATGAACGTATGCAAGGAGCATCAAACCAAAAATAAAATCGTAGCCAAAGTCTATAGAAAACCTGCCACAACTTAAACAAAAGAAGCATCTTCATACTGCCTGGCCAGAAGTAGAGTTTTCAACATTACAACATAATGACTTTTTTCACCATTTTTTTGAAGATGAGTAAAACATTTATTTGATCTTCAAATTCACTGTATAAGCAGTTTCTATCATGAGTTCTTAATTTCTATTCCTTGCTGTGTAATTCATTGTGGTTAATAATAATTATAATTATGTATAATTTGCCCATATGTTCCTCAGATGGATGCAAATCTCCTTAACACATTTGTTGCCTACAGCCTAGAATATGGGCTGACTTTGAAGGTGAAAGTTTTTAGGTTTTGCGCAAGATGAAGAACAGTTGTATATTTTCTATGGAGGGATCTAAACATTTTGAAACAGTGGACATTATGAAAGCATTTCCAAAGTGAAGAAGGAGGGGTTTGAAGGCATAGAGGAAAAAAAAGAGGAATTAGAGGACTAATAATCACATCCAGTAGTTTAGAAAATCTCATTCAGTTCATATAATAAGTCCATATTAAAAAGATAAAGGAACAAGCTCCAGTAGTCATATGTATGTATACATTTCTCTATGTATATGGGTAAATTTGTGTATCTCTTTAGCCAAAAGATTAGATTAAATGTAATGAAAGTTTTATTGTGTCAAAATGTGGTGCACATATTGTTATTAGTTATTAACACATGTTTTTGTTTTATATGTCATTTCCTCGTAATGTTTCTTATTTTCAGTTGTGTTGCATCATATATTTGTTTTTGCTTCATTAATATGGTGATGGATTAAAGTTGGAGCTGAAGTAAGTAGAGTTTAGCACTGGTACACCACTGATTTTCTGGCATATCTTTTAATTCAGACAAAATTATGACTTGAATTCTTCTTATTGTTGTTGTTATTTATTTTATTTACTAATTTTTTGGATTTTTTTTGTAACTATTATACATAATATTGTATCTTGAAAGTGCCTGCTGTGTCATATGTTCCAGTTATAATATAAATTTGTTCTAAAAAGATATTTTATATTACTATTATTTTTTTTTACATTTGATGGAAAAAAGTTATATTTCAATGTTGTTACTTATGCCTTCCTTGTATAGAGCTGAAGTCAAAGTCTTAAAAAGTATTCAGTGCAGCTTGGCTGGATGAGTCACACTAAGCTTATCTTTCTGCAGAAAAGTGGGATAAGCATTGTGTACGAACCTATTGATTTTTTTGTTACAAGAAGGATTCAATAAGCCATATTTATCAGTATTTTCCACTTGAGTAAAATCAGTTTTTTTAATGCCAGTTCTCAGATCAACAGCAAGAGTAAAATTAGTTTTTTTAATGCCAGTTCTCAGATCAACAGCAAGAGGTTGTT